GAACTTCCTGGACCAATGACGACAGCCATAAAGAGAAATAAAGGTAATTATATTATTGCAGTTGAATTATGATTTTTTAATATTTGTAATAAAATACATTTCTCTACTAAATGTAAACAGTGGCATGTTAGATAAGTCACAGTATTTGCAAGTGGGGAAAATAGTCATTTTAGACTTTCACATTTAAATTAGATCCTTTAGGAGAGCAGAAATTAAATCCATTTCTCTCTTTAAGAAAAGGGCAACTCTGTAAGAGACTATTAGTGAAACAAGTTGAAATTTAAAAACAAGCGTGGGTCTTCGAAAAAGCATGTGAATTTCTAAAATACCAGAGTACGTACTATGATTGAAATCACAGGTAAATTTAATCCATTATATTTGAGAGCTTTGTTAACAGCACACTTGAAAGACTGACGGGGCTGATTAAAATTCACGCCATTGTTTTTTAAATTAAAATACAGAAGCTTCAAAAATATGACAAAGCTATATATTAGTCTATAGGTGTGTTTTCTGGAGTAGATGATGGAACAGATATTTTAAAGGAAAGCTTAAATGTTTCTTTGTGTTTGTGTATATATATATGTACATATATATTTTTTATTTTGATGAAAACCTCTTGAGCTGCTTCGATGCAAACTATATTTCTGTATCTGTTATGTCTGTAGAGCTGTGGGAAGGGTGAAGATGAAGCCAGGGAAGGAAAGCAGCAGCGGAGCACACACAAAACATGAGGCCACCTGGCTTCTTGCCATCCTACATGACATTCAATTATTTTAGTACTTTTTCATGAGAGTTTTCTCTCCACCCAGCTTCCCCTCCCCTCTCCAGACTCCTGCTTTTCTACATTTGTCATAGTTCATCTAATTCAGCACGCATTTTTCCTAGCTTTACTTACTAGTATGCCTCAAACTCTTGCCAAAAAAAGAAAGGGCTAAGATGAAAATTCTTGCAATCCTATCTTGACATTCCCACTATTACTATATAAGTGTGACATTTCTTTCAAGAAGTTGAGAAAGGAACCAGAGAGGTGTACACATTGCTTCAACTGTTGCTTTGATGTATGTACTCAAAATATTTTTCATTTCCCAAAATATAGTCTCATGGGGGAGGGGGGCATCAAAAGCAACTTTCAGACTATGAGAATTTTTTTTTAATGTAAAATAAGTCAAACTGACAGCCAATCCCTTATCTGAACTTGACTTACCTGAAATTACCTTTGTATGTCGGGGGTGGGGGGAGAGGAGGAGTCAGTCATTTCAGTGGGCTTTTAAACTAGTTTTAATTTAATTACTTTAATTCTAGGCTCTAAAGGGAACTAAATAAAGACAACTTTAAACACATCCCAAATCACTGTGTTTGGCGAGCTGGCACCTAACAACAACAGCAGGAACAACCACAAACTGGTTGCAGGAATGTTAAATGTAACTTCAAATCAGAACATCAGAGTCACTTCACAAAATAGCCTTTCCGCTGTGTTAGCATCCCTGGTGCCAGAGAAATGAGAAAACAGTGTTGCAAAGAGGCTGAGACTTGAACCTGCAATAGGTCATGTTAACCCTCATCCTTTTGCTTCCTGGACTCTGCACATTCCTTCCTGACTCTGCCTCAATCCCATCAAGGAGATGTGAAGAAGCATCAGTAGCTGCACCCTGGGATCTGAAAGTGCCAGCATCCTAGAATGTCCTAAATTTTGTTAGGATTTAAAAGAAATTGATGGCTCCCCATCTCTGTCCCTCTCCTACCCCCACTCTCACCCCACTCCCACCACCTCCTGCAAGTGCTTCTTGCCAGGTAGATTTCTTCACTAACATGAAAGACGGGGAGCTGAATCCTGGGTTTAGAAGCCAGGTTCCAGGTATGGAAAGTAATGAACAATTCTCTCGAAGGAGAAATAGAAAGGTGGAGGAAAGAAGGGAATGGTAGCCTGGGGGTGATGGACTGAGTGTGCTGAGATAAAATCCCAATTAGAACCTGGTTTAATAAACTGGGTCTCTCTGGCCAGCCATGGTTCCTCGAGGCACTGGACCCCGGGGCCCTAGCCATGCTGACTCTTTGGAACTGGGGAGGCTGGGATGAGGAATGTGGATTAGAAGCAGGTTTTTAAAGCCTGCTGAAGAGGAAAGAGCCATGTAGGCTCTGGATAGCGTAGCTGAAAGTATTTATCAAAGTGCTGTGGTCAATTTCCAAGGTTATCCTCAAAGTACCAGGCAGAAAATGCCCAGGTAAATCTCAGAGAGGACAAGACACCCTCCAATCCAATCAGCCTCCAGTTTCTTCTCCCTTCTTGTGCCTTCCAGAAATCATTTAATTATTGTTGTTTTAATTAGTATTATTGTAAATTTATTATTTAAGGCTCCAATGGTTAGAGCTGTGACATTACCATAAACTCCATCTCAACCTCTCAGAATCCATTTAATGCAGCTCTTGGCAACCAGAGACCCAGCTTCTTGCCAAAAACTGAAGATTAAGCATTCGTTATGGGAGTTTGCCATTAGCTGTTCCCTATGTTTTGGGCACATGTGGTTACATGTCCCCAAACATACAGGACTCTGTGTTATAGATTTGCATTTCCAAGAGGTTCCAGGGATATTAAGTGGGGTTGGTGACACCTTGCACCCGTCCCTCCAACCACTGCCATCAAAAGTGGGGTTGAGGTGTGGGGTGGAAATGGGTTTACTAGGCAGCTGTGGACCCTGGCTCTTCTATAGTTTCCTCTGCGAGCTGGACCTTTATTGGTTTACAAGTACTCTAGAGCTTCCATCATATGTCTTTCATTTAAGAGACACTGAATGTTTTTCAGGGAATTCAGGGCTCTTAAGACGCATATTTATAAACAAGCTGACAGAGCTCTACGAGGTAACTAAGTTCATAGCTAGGAGTTGTTTGTATATTTCCTCAAGTCAGCAAGGCGTTGTTCTTGCTGCTGTGAATTTTTGAAAAACCTATTAAATGACCATTTCTCTTATCCTCCCCGTGTCTATTAGAGAAAGGCAGGCTGTCAGAACATCTGAAGGTAAGGTACAGAAGGGGTTAGGAGAGAATCAAAAATTATCAACCCAGATAAGAGTGAGTGGATAACTCGACTTCCGACATTCCTGTAGGGACGGCCCAGGAACAGCTAGAAAGTGCTCAGGAAGCGCATAGCTTGCTCCTTCGCTTTAAGCATGGATAGGATGTACCAGAGCAACCTCTCGCCAGCTTTTCCTTGGCCTTCCTCCCGCGTACTCCACCCCCCCAGCACCCCACACCCCCCATCCGAGGATGCCAGGCTTGGAGTTCGCGCGCCTTGGTGCAGTCCGGAATTCTCCCTGAGCCCAGTCCCTGAAAGCTTTCCGCCCCTTTTGAGATTTAACAGTTAGTGTTTGGTGCCGGCTGCACGGCTCCGGAGATAGTAATAATACAGCTAAAGTTGTATCATTCAGGAATGGTGTCAACTCGCGAGAACCTGAGTGCGCGCTCAAGGCCGTGCAGAGCGCGGCGCCACGTGAATCGAGCTTGTGCCCCTGCTCAGGAGAAGCGTCTTGGGAGAATGGAGGCTGCTGCTCCGGGGCGCCTGCTCGGGTCCCACTCGGCCGGATCTGGGTTTAGGACCGGCCCCGCTTCTTGGGCAGTGCTGAAGCGCCGCTCTGAGGTGCGCAGCGCTCCATGATTCTTCCCTGGCTGCGGCCCATGCTGGCCTCGAAGAGGGTCTCCCAGTGAGTCCTAGGACAGCCAACACCCCGAAGAAAGTGGAAATTCCCGAGCCCATCCGGAGGCTCGCCAGAATTGGGCTTGGCCTCGCCACCCCAGCGTCGGGGCTGCCCCGCGTGCCCAAGGCCGCGGGGTGACTGCCCGGCTGTCCTGGGGAGACGCCACGGGCGCTGCGAGGGCCTGTGCGGAAAAGGCCGTCGGGTAGAGGCCTCCCTTGGAGGGCGCAACCCTTAGTCCCCAACTTGTGGGAGTTTTCACCCTATTTGCCAGTTTAAGAGGCCTGTTGCTAATGGCGGCCTTTCCTTGCCCAAGGCGCTGAACGCTTTTCCCTCCGACGCGGCGGGCTCCTCGAAACCAAAGGCAGTCCCGAAGCCTTACAGAGGGGCTTTCAACTCCGCAGTGCTGCCTGCCCTCAGGGAGCGGCCAGCTCCCCAGCCTCCCACCATCCCCTCGGGCTGGGACCGGGGTCCTGGCCCAGCTCCGCGCGCGCCCGTCGCTCCCCGAACGCGCTTTTCAAACTCGACCGCGACCATTTAAGAGTAAAATAATAATCTTTTGAAAACCACCCTGAAGGCCTTCCTCGTACATAAACCCCTTTGTGTAACGAACCTCTCTCTGGCCTATACTAGGGGCCCTTAGGAGGTACTTTTCCTATCAGGGTTTCTTAAAATAATCTGGATCTAATGATAAAATCGTGGACCAAGGGGAGGGGTGGAAGAAGGGTGGGGAAATCAGGTTGGTATCGGTATAATGTTTTCAGTGCCTCTTGCTCGGCTTTCCTCTCCCATTGCCACCACATCCACACGCCACCGCATTCCAGAAAGAAAGAAAAGGCCACGAGTTCGTGAGCGCCGAGAGCCCCCGGACGCCGAGCTCCTCGGGATTGGAAGGAGAAACGGCCCCTCTACCACGGCCATCCCAGTTAATAGCTGCCAACGTACCCGGCTTCTCGGGCTTCGGATTAATGTGGATCTTCCACATAAACGACTTACGGATGAAGTGAAAGCCCTTTAGAGCAGTAGTTCCTTTCAAGTTCGTAAGACGCCTCTAAATCTTTCTGGTAGTGAGTGGCCGGCGTGGGGGTGGGGTGGGGACCGGGTGCCGGGCGGGCGGCCCGGGAGGGCGCAGAGAGCGGGGAGTGGAGGGTTAACTGCTTTGCGATCCTGAAATGGAGCTGTCTGTCTAACCTAGGCCTGGACGCGCCCTTCCCGGGTAAGTGGGGGAAGATGGGGGTGGGGTGGGGGCGGAGGGGAGTCCGGGGTGGAGTTAGTCGCCTGCCTATTTTCATATTCATTAGAACTGGGAGGTTGCCCGAGGAGCCCAGCTGAGTTTCAAGATATAAAAGCAACTTCGGGTGCCCCCTTTCCAGCCGGGACGTCTTAAAGGGCTCGGAGCCGGGCAGCTCCCCGCGCCGCAGCGCCTGTTTCCCCTTTGCTCCTCTCTGGCCCTCCCTCCTCCCGCCCCCTCGTTCCCTCCCCCAGCGCGCTCCAGCCTCCGAGCTCCAGTAGCTCCGAGACAGCTTTCCAGGATTATGGAGTTTCTGAGCGAGAAGTTTGCCCTCAAGAGCCCACCGAGTAAAAACAGTAACTTTTACATGGGCGCAGGAGGCGCGTTGGAGCACGTTATGGAGACGCTGGACAATGAGTCCTTTTACAGCAAAGCGTCGGCGGGCAAATGCGTGCAGGCCTTCGGGCCCCTGCCCCGCGCCGAGCATCACGTGCGCCTGGAGAGGACCTCGCCCTGTCAGGACGGCAGCGGTGAGTCCACTGCTCCAGCCGGGGTCGCGGAAGCCCACCCGCAAATCCGCAGTGCGGGGAGTGGTCGGGGCAGGGAGGGAGGAAAGGAAGGAAGAAGGAAGGAAAAAAGGAAGGAAGGAAGGAAGGAAGGGAGGAAGGGAGGGAGGGAGGGTGGGGGAGCGAGAGAGCTGGAGGGCGGAGGAAGGCAGTGGAACGCTGCTTATTTTAGGAAGCGGAGTTTTGGCTGCTGCAGAACCAAGGAAGGAACCCGCACCCGGTTGCTTCCGCGCGGTTCTCCTTTCGCTGTCCTCCACGGGTCCTGGAATCCCTCTATCCAGGACCCCGGCGTAAACTGATAGGGCGCTAAATAGAGCGTAATTGAGTCAAGACAGCGCGCTTCCTCTGCGAGCCCGCCGAGCTGCCCAGGCAGGAGGAGCTGAAATCCATCACAGCTCGTTAGAGGACGTCACTACCGTCACGAATAAGAAAACTTAGGTGAAAAATGTGTTTTACTTTTCAAGACGCAACGATATTTTCTTTGTGAAGTTAGAGGGTTACTAGATTAGCTTGTGGGGATCTGTGATTTCTACCTATTTGGGTTTGCGATACAACAACATACATTTTTGTTAAACGCCAAATCACTTGAAATAGCTTCGGGCAAAGAATCTTCAATATAATCACTCACTCCCGAATTCTGCCTTGTCTATTTTTCTGACTCCACGTAGAAGTCACCTAAGAAGACTTTCGGAATGCTTCTGGATGAAATCTTTAACTTTGGATGGCCAAGTATCTCAAAGTCAAAATGTTATCAAAACAAACCATCTATCTTTTCTATCTTGTAACCCAATACAAACCTATTTTTTTAGATCGCGACAGCTAAAGCAAGTTTACAATTCCAAGAGGACTTTTTCTTATCATTGTATATATTCAACAGTTAAGCTGTAAGGAGCGGGTTGTTTTAAAATAACAAACGAATTAAGTGTGAAATATTTACAGCAAGCCTGCCGCCCCCTATTCTAATGGTAGTTCAGAATCTGGCAAGGCACCGGCTCATAGAAGCTCTTTCTCTAAATACCTAGTACGCAATAAGCTTAAAAAACGACCTCGTATATTTTACTTATTTTGTTCAGCGTTGCAAGTAACTTTTGACTTGCAAGGTTAAATACAAAAAAAAGGCGCAAACAATAGAGAAAATCAGTCAAATCTCAGTCATTTATTTAGGAAGACGCAAAAAAATTTTATTTTAATACACTGAAGTTTTGGCTTTCTGGCTGTATTTCACATTGCAATATTTTTATTTTGGAATTTATAGAGGTATACATAAAGTTATTTCTGTGGACAGGATTTTTTAAAAATGGTTCTGAAATGTCCTCTGTTGACAGCTGGATACGACTCAATCATAATTTTTATTTAAATTGTCGGGATTTCAAAAATAAGAGAAATAGGTGATTTTTGATACTTTATCAAGTTTTTAAAGAACATCATACTATTAGGAGGGATTTTAATAGGAAAGTATTAAGTAAGATAAATGTAGGCAACAAGCAGTCCGCTAAATTTAGGAAGGTTTCTGTCTTTCTCCTGAGATGCCCTTACGCTCACGCCTGCTTCCCCTCCCCCATCCCTAATTACCGCAGTTCCCCATTTAACTCTGCCCGCGGAGACAAAACCGTATTGTTTGTTAATGTTCAGGCTCTTCTTTCTGTTTAGTTTTACATAACATCTTTTTTTGCCTAAATACTCTTCCGTATTTAAGTTACCTAGGTACTAGAGTTCAATACATTTGTATAATGATTAAAGCAGTTGTAAAAATACATCATGAGAGAATTTTAAAATAGAGAAAAACGAAAAAAGTATAACAATTCATTGGAAATCATTGTTGTGGCAGGGCTGACTTAAGAAAAATGCTTCCCGTTGCATTATGTGCCTCCATTACATTTGTGTGTGTGTGTGGCACCATATGATATATTTTCGTTTTATATCATACTGCCAAGCATGCACTCAAATCTGGAGGAAATCACTAAAATTAAAGCACCCCTAAACAGAATGCCAGATGACATCCTTTGTAATCTTTTAATAGATGTTTTAATTTCCGTGCTTTACTAGAGGGAAGAGTAAAGCTTTCTGTCTTAAAACGTGTTTCATGAGTTAGCATAAATTTGACAAATTTAGAAAGAACTGCAAATGAGTTTTTAAGCTAAAGAAGTCTACCTAAATCTACCTAAATCTTATTATTTTCTGTAGGAAACACACACAGAAACTGATGGAAAATTCATTTTTTAACTTAGTAGGTCGCTTTTGAAATAAAAAATGTAAATGCAGACATGATATACAGTTGAAATATTGGAAATATAGTAGGAAACAATACCATATCTTAAATCTATAGTCCATAGGTTTTGTGTGGAGGAGAAACATAACTTTGGAAAAGAGTTTGGATTATGGTTTACAGATAGTATTTAAAATTGAAATATCCTTTTTGAGCCATGTAAGTAGCTTACTTTTGTCTGCTGTGAATAAATAAGACATATTAAATTTGGCTCACTTAGATTTTTTTAAACTAGAGCGTCTTAATTTGATTATAAATTATGTGCATAAACATTACATTAATCCTGGGAAATAGAACTGTGTGTTTTGACAAATTATATGAGTTCCATGTACACATTTTTAGATGATTCTAAACCTGCCCAAAGTGAATTAATAATGTGATGATCAAATTAATACTGGCGCAATAAATCATAATGGGCCGCTTGCCTGATGCTCTAAATTACTTCAACTTAAGTCCTTCATCCATGTTTTGCAATCCTGAGAACTGTTGTTTTCCCCCTTTGGGTACAGTGAACTATGGGATCACTAAAGTAGAAGGACAGCCTCTTCACACCGAACTAAATAGAGCTATGGACAACTGTAACAGTCTCCGGATGTCTCCCGTGAAAGGGATGCCAGAGAAGGGAGAACTGGATGAACTTGGGGATAAATGTGACAGCAACGTATCCAGCAGTAAGAAACGGAGACACCGAACCACCTTTACCAGCTTGCAGCTGGAGGAGCTGGAAAAGGTCTTTCAGAAAACCCATTACCCGGATGTATATGTCAGAGAGCAGCTTGCTCTGAGGACTGAGCTGACTGAGGCCAGGGTCCAGGTAGGAGCCAAATGAAGGCTTGGGTGTGTGTGTGTTTGGAGGGCGGAGTTGGAGGGGGGAATAGTGTGTGATCCATAGTTGTGTTTTACTACAAAGGAAGAAACTGATTCTCCTACTGAAGATGTAGAACGGTGTAGTATGTAAGTGTAGCATGTAAGTCTACTAAAGTTACTTTTTACTTGCAAAGGATTTGACAGCTCGCACACAAGTATAAAAGAAAAGAACACTTGAATTATTACATAGGCATAAAAACTAATGATTATTTTAAAAGAACAGAATATGAACAAATTTCTGATTTCAAAAAGTGATTTTTAAAGGACAAAAAACTAGTCATAGCTATCCAATCTAGTAATCCATGTATTTTATTTTTCTATTTTATCAGCCATTGAAGTTCTTTGGGGGTTATATACCCTATATTGGTAACTTATTTGTATAGTGGTCCGTACGTCTATAATTTTACTGAGGTTAGTGTTATAATAAAACAAGGAAACATGAAACAGTCTCACAAACTCCCAGTTGTTATGTATACCATAAACTATTTTCACTATGCATAATTAAAGAAAGTTCATATAGCTCATCTACGATTTTCTAGCCCCAGGAATTGCCAGTACATGCCATTCCATTATAATTTTTAAAATCTAGATAACTTATATGATTTTTGCAGAGGCAATAGGAATAATAATCTTAAAGTAATTTTTAAATATATAAATTCAGTTAAATTATAGCTATATGTTATATTCAAATTATAAAATTGGATGATTCAATATACTAAATTTCTTAATAATTTGAAAAAAATTTTTAAATACTGGGTAAAATTCTACCTCCTAAGTGTATTTTACTTTTACTAGCCTTGATATTCTAAGCTATATTTTATTAGTTCCTAAGTAACAATAATTCAGGAGAATAACCTTTTTCTTTGTGTGTGTTTTTACTACTCGAAATAAAATAATTTGAATTTTGAAATTCCCATAAACCACTAGAATAGAGAAATACATAAAAAAATTTTTCTGAGTGGAGTAATAGTATTCCTCCTGAAGATTGAACCATTGTAAGGCCCTTGTACATCAGTAAAGACAACATCTGGTGGTGGCAGGAATACCAAGCAGCAGATTTTTGCTTTAGTTTGCGGAGACAAATGGTTACTTTATCTTAGTTCAGGAAGTAAATGTATAGAAAGTCAACACTAAGGAAGAATTTTAGAACTGTCAAGTGTTAACACAAACCCCCCACATGTGTCTTTTTTGGTCTTGTGTTCATATATGTAAATTAGTTATACTTGTAACCATAGAAAAATGTGTTTACACACACACAGTGATCAGCTGTGCACAAAGCATGTTTTCCCCTTATTTCACCAAGTTCTGATTAATTTTTGTCTAAGAACATGCACAGAGAGCCAGCCTGAACCTAATTTACTCAGATGGTTCTCTTTTCTGCTTTTCACATCAGAGTGGTAATTGGCACCCATTTTAAGGAGATTGTCAAGGTCTTTTTCTCAGTAGAAAAGCCCTCATTACTAAATTCCCTCAGTATGCTCCTGCTGTGGAGAGAGCAAGAAAGTGTGTTCTGTTTTGTTTTGTTGTTGACGTTGTCTTAAGCCCTGAATATAGTGGATAATACACACTTCCCAGCAGTGTTCTAAGAAACCATCTGAACAGGTAGCTGTCTTTGCCTTCTTTTAATTGCTGAAAACTCTTCAAAGTGCCATCTTAAATTTGCAATACATGCTTATGCACCAAACTGAGTATTATGTCTCCATAAGTGTGATGGTAAAGATATAAAAGATTAGAATTGAATATGAAAAAGAGTAAAAATTTCAAATAAATTTTAATGAAAGGCTTTTTACAGTTTGCATTTTTATACTTCATTTCTAGCTTCTTTCCTAAGTATTTTATATTCTGAATATAGTTCTGTAAAGACTAAAGAGCTTCCTGAAAGCTACTTATGTAAATTATACATATTGAATATCAAATTATACGTATTGAATATAATTTTCTGTATAGAGAGCTGTATTAAAGAGAGCTTTAATACCTTAAAATATTAAAATGATGATTCTGGAAAGCTACAGGTGTGAATTAGTTAATATTTAACCCTCTGAGGAAGATAGGTGTTATAATGGATATTTCATCTATGCAATTAATTAGAGAGATTTGGAAGGCAGTTTAGTGACCCTGTAGAGGCCGTACTAACTCACAGGCTTTCTTGACAGTTGATTATATCTGCCCTGTTTCTTTTTTAATTTATATTACCCGTAAGTCTTTTAAATTGGATAAATGATTTTGAAGATTTTATGAGCATTTCCTATAAGAGAAAATAAGTAAGTGGTGTCATTTACATAATAAACAATTTGTATATTTTAAAACCATAGTTCAGCTTCAGATGATACCATTTTACCCGAAGTCTTTATCATAATCAATATAATTAATAATCCTAATGGTTTTTGTTTCTAAATAATCATGATATTTCTGCTGATGCCATATGTTTTAGATATAATCTTTATGTTTACATTTTTCTAAGTTTTTCTAAGTCTGGGTACAACCCAGAAGAGCCAATTGTTTTGACAGACCCAGATATTAATTTGGTTATAGATTGGCTGGGTTAATGTTATATACATAGCCCCAAACTAAAAAGTTATGAATGTATTCCAGACTTGCAGCATTCTCTGAGAGAGGGATCATTATCTGTGATAATTTGAAGATATAAGGAATCTTCACGGTCATATAATCTAATTCTTTTTTATTTTCTGTAAATGAAGAAACAGAGGCTCAGATGTATTAAATAAATTTTTGAAAATGTCTTGTCTCTTTGTATTAAATTGTATTGCCTCATGGACATGGCACTTGTCAGGGTAAAATAGAAAGTAAAATTTGTGGATCCTTTTCTAATATAAAAAAATTCCCTTTTTAGTAATTATATTGACCTGGTTTACCTTTCTAATTTGAAGTCTTTGAACATCATATTTGCATTATCAACTATTCCTTGCCTAAAATTCTACTTTTTTAAAAAATTAGGTTTGGTTTCAAAATCGAAGGGCCAAGTGGAGAAAAAGAGAACGTTATGGCCAAATCCAGCAAGCTAAAAGCCATTTTGCTGCCACCTATGACATATCAGTTTTGCCAAGGACTGACAGCTATCCACAGGTATGGTAAACTGCACAGAACACTGAGAGGCATAGGTGTGGTTTGTATATTCTTAAAAGGGCTAGTATAAGCTTTATTATATCTAATAGCCAAGAATGAAAATTTTAATCTCCAAAAGAATTTTTCCATGTTTGTTAGATTTTTATTTTACTAAAATATTTATTTATTTTAATTTATTTTTCTAGAGCCATTCATTTAAAAATATTTCAGGGTCTCTTCTTTGGTATACATTGAAACAACTTAAGTAGCATCATTCAGTAGTACATCTTTTAATTTCTCTACTCCCTTTGTTAACTTTTAAAATACATAAAGCATTGCTTGGCATGCTATCTCTGTGGCTGTTGTTTTGTGAACCATACCATAACCTGGTGACACATGTGGCCTGTGACACCTTCAGTTTCACTGAAAACCATCTTTTTTTCAGTTTTAAGTTCCACTTAAAACTATGTTGTCTTTTCAGCTTTGAATTTGCTCATTGTTTCAAGGAAACATTTAGCCCTTTGTGACATAAAACATATATAGAATTAGTACTGGACATAATTTTTTGAATGTATCATGTTAAGAAAGACTTCTTTTATAATGGGAGCTCTCATCTCATTTCAAAGAATATTTAGAAATTCTTTTTCCTATAAATTTTCCTTTTAATTTAGAGAGGTTTTTTTTTCATACTTTGTAATTCACATAAATAAATTTCATCTTTCTAACTGGGTATTACTTTTTCCTAATACTGAATTATAATATTCAAAATTGTATTTGATACATGATAAAGGACATGTGTATTATAAGGAACTTTTAAACCATCTGTTACTTCATTCCTGATTGTTTAATGATAATGCGTTGTAACAGACTACTTTGAAAACAAATATGTAACATATATGCTGGTAGAATACCTTGATAGTCCAGTAAACAAATCATCTCAGCCCCAAACTTAAGGGTATTCGTTTTCTTTAACTGTAAATTCATACCCTGTGAGCATGAATTCAGTCCTTTAATTTCATGCTATCTTTGTGTTCTTGTGGCTTTCATGATTTTTTAAAACCCTATTTTGAGAACTTCATTCCTCCAGATAAATCCACCAAATTTATTAATGTAATATTATATGCAAACAAGAGCCTTAGAGATCACCTAGTTCAATTCCTTCATTTTAGAAGTCAGGAAACCAGACCCAGATGAGGTAAAAAAATATTGGTCTGTGATCACACAAATGGTTCCTTAGTCTATCAAAGACTGTTACAGCTAAGCCTTGCCACTGCATTTTGCCAGAAGACCAACATTATGGGTACCTTTTGAATAAATGCCCATACCTACCTTAAGAAGAATCTTGTTTCTTTCACTTTAAAAATTTTATCTTAAAGTAGCTCCTTTATATTTTCTCCTATTTTAAAAGCATGTATATACTCCTGGTTACATAACATCACAAGGCTAATGAAATTTTATTCACCAAATATTGTGAGTGTCCTAGTTGAGTTCTAAACAAAGTGCTGTGAGGATGTTTGTCCTCTAGGCTGTAAGCGCCATGAGATCAGGCACTGCTATTTTCCTAGCTGTTAACACGGCTATAGCCCTTACTGTCAGGCACTGTTCTAACTAGGTTACATATATTAACTCATTTAATCCTTACCACAACCTTATGCAGTAGGTGTTGTTGATTATTCCCATTTTTCTTATGAGGAAACTGAGGCACAGAGAGGTGAGGTATTTACTCACTTTCATTAGTGGTAGTGAACCCAGATTTGAGCAGAGCCAATCTAGCTCTCAAGGGCAAAATCCTAACTCCCACAATAGACTGTCTCTCCCAGTGAATATGTTTGAATGATTGAATGATTAACTAATACCAAAGGAGCATAAGGCTTAAGTTGCATTATTCAAATTGCAGTTTAGTTCAGGGGAGCAGAGAATGTTCTCACAACCAGTGAAATAACAATTACAAAAATAACGGAGATGGCATATACTGCATATAATTTTGAACTACTTGACTGTTGGTGACTTGAGAAATAATAAAGTCACAAATTATGAACTCTTTTCAAATGGACTTTAAACAGTCTTACTGATATGTCCCACAACAATTGACTGTGATGTGTCTTTTTTTCACCTTATTATTTCAATATTCATTCCTTTCCTTGTTACCATTTCTATTTGCCACTTTTCTGCTCCTTGCTTTTGGTTGCCTTATCTCTAACCCCCCTTTCTTCTTTAGTATATCATAAAACATGTAGAATAGTGCCTGGACCAATTAAGCTCTGTACAAAAGCTTAATATAACAATATAACTAGTCACCCTTTTTTCCTAAAATTATCTTGCTACTATGTTATTGTGCCTCATAGCTTGTGACATTAACGATTAGCAGAATGAGGTCACCTAGTAGCTCAGGCAGGAAAGGAAATGGTAAAATCAAATTATACATTTGATAGTCTTTTTCACTCCAACAAAGGATAAATTTAAAAAAAATTCCCCTCACAGATAACAGAATTTACACTAATTCTTCTTGTGGCTTCTCCATAACTTATATACATTGGTTACACCACCTCATAATTTAAGTATGGGAATGCAGAGATCATATGTTCAAGTTATTTTGACAGTGCAATTCATTAACAATGATAAAAATCAATACTGATGAATCCACACTACTTTTCTGTATTGGTAAGTCATTTAATGTTTGGTTACCAAAAATTCTAAAATTGAGCATCTCCCACTCCCCACTGGAGGTATTGGATAAAGTCAGGGGAAAATTCCATTTTAACTTAAAAATATATGGTTGACATTTTTTAGTTTGAAAAAAAATAATTATGCAAAAATCATGTCTCTCAAGACTCAGCCTAAGGAAACTTTTTTTTTTTTTATCATGTGGCTTAAAAATAGAAGTTTATAATGGGAAAAATAGGAACTGAAATAGAGCCTAACCAACTCAATGCAGTAAGACACTGAATTTGGTTACTGTCACTAATTATAGAAAAAAAATTATTAATTACAAAATGTTGGAACTAGAAAATGTTGGCAGCAGGACAGAAATAAAGAATTAGCAATTTGTCAGGGAAACAAAAGCATACACAGAAATACATCAAAACCAGAAATGGTTTACAAAATGATCTCCTTAAGCCTGCTCATAATAATAAGCCGGTGTATCATAATCTTACCTAGCATAAAGGTATCTGTATATAACATATAATGTTTATTTGTGAATAGTAATTAATATTTTCTAAAATGTTATAAATACTTTGTTTCCACTGGTCTTCATTACACTATAGTAACAACAGCTGTAACAGTAAAAATAGTAACTACCAGTTGAGGGCTTATTTTAAGCCAGGCTTCCTTCTTATAGCCATTAACTCATTGAATTTGAGCCCAAGTTTCTTGAGTTCAGGAGTCCCAGGCTTTTTATGCAACATTATGTTGGAGTCTCCCTAATCCAACATGGTGTTGAAATAGTTCAATTTTGACCCTAAAGCATCGCATTACTTTGGTAAAGGAAAAATGCTTTCATTTTTAAAATTTGTAAAATAATAATATAAAACATTTTAAAAATGTAAATACTTCTTAGACTGTTTAAGATATTCTTTTTCTTAAACTTACTCATATGTGATAGCAAACAAACAAATAAGAGAGTGCTGTGATGTCAGTAGTAATATACTCTAAAGGTAGTATATTTTGATGTAGTGAAATACAGTAGTGTTATTTTTTAAAGCTCTATTTTGGGTCACAATATCAGTTGCCATTTGTCAACACTGTATATCTAAATTAAATTACTTGATATTCTCCAACACGTGATATTTTAGAAAAGAGTCTGCTTGCTTGTGCTAAGTCTGTTTCCCTCTATCTTGAATTCCCTTCCCTTCACCTAAACCATATTTCTTCCATGAAGCCTCCTCTCAATTTTCCCTCAATCATCACATCACTTTCTCATTGACATTGTGGTGGATTGTGTAAAATGTCTCCCACACATTTAGGATGTAAAGTATTTAAAAGATGATTAAGTTCTTATTCACATTTGTATCACCACAGTATTAAGCAAATTATGTATACACTGAATAGATGTGAAAAAAAGTACTGGTTCACTTCACTATTCAGGAGTACATTATAAAACAAAAGCTAGTCTATTTTTAATAAAACAGATGGTTTCTGAATCTCTGATATTAACCAGCTCTGTGGTCTTAAGCAATTAACTTTTCCTCTTTGAAAAGAATAGACTAGAAAGATTTTGTAGACCCCTTTCAGGTTAATTTTTCTTGCAGAGTTGTTTGCATTTTATCAAACAAATATATGCCAGGTATTGTTTTAGGCACAGAGGTTATACAAATGATCCAGACAAAATCTCCTGCTTTGTGGACAGATTACAAACTAGATATTACAAATTCTGCAAACACTTCTTGATGCAAACTGGACCCGGAAAACCAAACCAATTAGAGACCTACATAATTTTGTCCTTGAGTTTAAGAAGCAAGCACATATCTATCAACATTAGATTCTAACTTGTTTCTAATTTATCAAAGCCAAAGCTCCCCCCCCC